GGTGCCGACCAGAAGATACAACGCGCTCCTTGTCCCTCTTTGCAGGACGCCTCCGCCGGGGACTGGTGAAGTGTGGGCCGATAGCGTGAACATAAGGTAAAGCTTGTCGAGACATACCGTGGGCTGGAATGCCAAGCACAACGACGGGAAGGGGGGACCAGCGAACCCCCCCCCCCCTGCCCATACCGAACAAACTGTTGATGGCCAGATGACGCGATGTATCAGGGAGGCACCGGAGAGGGAGCGCGGAGGCGGGAGTGGAGAGGGATCGATGCGATCGTCAGATGAGTGCGGGAGGCTGCCTTACACGTCGCCCGAGCACTGCGGGAGGCCCCGCAGATATGGCTGGAACAGTACTAAATTAGGCAGTATCTATATTTGTATTCAATAGGGAGCATCGGCCCAGATGCCGTCTGTCTAGCCCAATACTTCCTACACATTTTTAGACTACCTAGGTTATGATGTCATCAAATCGGTCCTGCCTAAGGTGGACTGGACTCCTTAGGCAGTACCTCGAAACTAGAATGATGTACCTAAGTAGACTCAGGGTATGGGTGCCTAAGTTGGTATACATACAAGTAAGGAAATAGGCAAATGCATAACCAATGTATCCACATCAACCCCTCATGAAGTCCTTTTGCTCCTGCAAAAGCTGAAATGTACAAGTGTCCATAAGAAGTGCAAGGAGTCCGTATCAGAAACATTTGATAACATGTCAGATGCATCTGTTGCAGAAGCACACCTCATTATGCACCTTCACCTTGCATCACTGAAGGTCAGCAGATGGATACCAGAGGTTGGGCTCAGGAACAGAAGGGGTGTAGTATCAGAGGTGCTCACTGTTGTAGATTGCACAAGATGTAACTGTTTGGGGTTTGCAGTTAATAAGTGTTCTTGTCTGTCATGCCATGAATGACAAATGGTTTGTTCCACCCAGGATGGAGCTTCATGGGGCATTTGGACTTACAAAGGATGAAGTCACCAACACCCAATCCCCTTTTGCGGTATATATCATTGTGCTTCCTTGCTTCTGTCCCCAGACACTGTTGATATGCACTGACACACAACAACCCCAAAGACCAACCAAACACACTCAGCAGTATGGGTGAAGGCAGTTTAAGGTGACTGAAGTGTAATAATAGAGTTTGAGGGGGAGGGGAGGAGTAAGACAATGCAGGGGAGTCCATAGGAAGACCTAAAATAATAAAACAATGCCTTGATGCCTGTAACAAACAATGACATGATGCTCTGGAGTATTTATCTCCAAAGGTTGCCAATAGACAGTACTGTGGGCACCAACTCCAATTGTAGGATAGTGCATGCCAGCGTGGGACACTCCTAAAGACACTTTGTTATTTCTATTTCTGTTTATATGCACTCACAGGAGCTAGTATGTGATGGCAGAGATGATTAATTCAACAAGTCAGGCCTATTGGCAACGCCAGGATGGATCACAATTTGTGAAGTTCAAGACTTTTGAACTTCAAGGGTTGCTGAGACTTTAACTCTGTCATGCTGAGATGGCAAAGAAATAAACTTGTTTTTACTTTACTTTACATTGTACATTTAATACTAAAGAAGTGACCTGTGACTGCTTGGAGATAAATAACAAATATTTCCCACCACTCTGACAGTTCAGCAATCATCTGCTGCTATACCACATAGCATACAATTCCCTTGGCCAATGCTGTAGGATTAATGTATTAGATCACCTTTGTTAAGGTAAAGCCTTTTACATTAAACAGCCTTTGCAATCATATATAATGTATTAGACTTCCAATTACCTTATGCAGTGGCAGGCAGTCTGCTGAGCTTGAATACAACAGCCCCAGCGACCCCGGCCTGGAGATCTAAATCAGGATTTGATCTGAGCTGTTGCCAATAATAGGTGGGTGGCCATACCTGGCCCTGCAGTCCCCAGAAAAATCCAGGAAAATATGGAAAAATCGTAATATATTTCTGGGGCCAGGCATCATGATGCCAGAGCTATCCATAGCATGGTAATGTGTCTAGAACACCACACATCAGCCACTAGCAGCTCGTATAAAATCAGAAACAATGTGCAAAAATCTGGGACAAATCATGGAACCTGCTGTTAATGACAACACACATAGCATCACCATATTATGTCATCACATGCCAAAAATGGCAGTAATCGATATGGGATACTTCCAGGATCTACCTTTCAGCCTCCTTCTGTATCTGGGGTTTATTCATCCTTATTCTCAATTTTGTTACTAATGTAGCAGGTCAAATAGTGTATAGGAATAGGGAGTGCTTGCCCCAATTATCACAGTGGGCAAGGACTGGTGTCCCACCACCGGACATTCATCTTTCATGTGCACAGGTGGGAGAACACTTCCCTAGGATGCTCAGTAGCGGAACATGGTACACACAGAAAGAATGAAAGCAAAATGTTAATTGGATTTTTGGGGACAACAGCAAATGTCCCACAGACCTTTCTTTGTTCACTCAAAGGCTATTCTTCATGTCCAGCTTATGTTCCACCAACAACCATTCTAAGAAAGTGTTCTTGCAGCCGTGAGATGTTCCTGGCATGCCCACCTGCGGGACATTGGTCACTGCCTGCAGTGTATTTGTAGGTACCATGGGCTGTGTAGTAGTACAATTGTCCAGGGCTAATGTATAGGATTTCAGGCAGCAGGCTGCCTGCCATGAGCCAGGCTGAGCTTGAATGGCCTACCCCAGCATCCCAACAGATAGACTGGGTATTGGGGCTAGATCTGGTGCTAATAATAGGCTAGTTAATTATCCAGGCACCTGGGTGGCTCCAAACAATGCACAAAACTCTGGAGAAAATCAGAATATATTGGTGGGACCCAGACTCCAAATATTAGTGCTATAAATAGCTGATGGGTACATATAGACCATGGCTTGGCAGCTCATAGACAATTGAAAGAAATGCAGAAAAATGCAGACAAATTCACAGCTACTGCCAATAGTTCCGGTGCACTGATGCCATCACTATATTACATAATAGACTTCCGAATATGGCAATATGTGGTGTGGTACACTTCTGGAACACTTCTGGAACACAATTTTTATGCTCTTTCTGGATCTGTGGTGCATTTATTCTTATTCTTCATTGTTCTAGTTCATATATTACCTGGCCCAGGCAATGTATGTAAGGGGGATTTGCATTGGTAATCCATAGAGCTTAGTGGCTATCCAATGCTGTAAAAGTAAAACCTTCATTGCCAGCTCTAAAACATTTTTTTCTGGGTTTCCCATGCATATACTATATGCTACACCCTGACGTTATTTTCTTAAATAGTATTACTCCACCTCAAAAACACATTGTTCACCCCACCCTGCACCAGTGGGATTGGAGCTTCATCAGGCACACTCTGGGTGGGGCCTGGTATTTTTATGGTGTTTATGAGATACGGTGGAGATTTGACTTAGAGCACCCTGGACAGGTACTTTAAAGGTCTCTCACCCTTCTTGGCCCAACGTGCTTGGCTGTATAGCTGCACATCTGCAAACCATTGTTGGATTCCAGATTTCAGGTTCGAGCTTGCACACTCGTGTTGTGTGTGGTCAGGGGGGACCGCCACAGGTGGGAGTCCATAGGAAGACCTAGAATAATAAAATAAAATCTTGAGGCCCAAAACAAACAATGCTACAATGCTCTATTTATCTCTGAAGATCACTAAAAGACCAGACTGCAGGCACCAACACCTCTTGTAGAATCGTGCATGGGGGGTAGTACTTCTCTAAAGACATGTTGTTAATCTTATTCATTACAGTCAGCACTCACAGGAGCTAATACTGGATGGCAGAGATATTTAACTTGATGAGTCAGGCCTACTGGCAAAGCTAGGATCAAATTGTAATTGCTAAGTTCACATCCAAACTTCGAGGGTCACTAAGACTGTAACCTCCAATATGCTGAGGTGGTGAAGAACAAACTTGTTTTTGCTCTACTTTACATC